GAGTAACTTTATAAAGAATAAAGGGCCGGGCACAGTGGCATGCACCTGTATTCTTAGCTACTTGGAAGGCTGAAAAGGAAGGATTTCCTTGGGTTAATGATCAGCCTGGGCAACAGAGTGAGATTTATCTCCTCCCCCTGCCCCATGAAGGTGTAAAGGAAGGAAGGAACTTTATTTTTGTTCTAAATTTTTTGTTTGTTTGTTTTGGTTTTTGTGATGCTGGGATTGAGCTGTATACCCAGCTCATTAAAAAAATTTTTTTTTTAAATTTGGAGACTAAATCACCCAGGCTACGCTCAAATTGGAACCCTCCTGCCTCAGCTTTCCAAAGAGCTGGGATTACAGGTGTGCATCACCACACTCAGCACGGTTTACAGTTCTGGTGCAAGGGTGAGGGGTCACGTGTGGTGATGACCTTGTTTACAGAGTCCTGAGGCTGCTCAGGGCCTCACAGGGTGAGACCAGGAGTGTACACATGCGTGTGAGTGTTTGTCTGGGTATATCTGTGTGTCCTTTGGCCTCTCCTTATAAAGCCACCAAGATTCAGTCACGGGGCTCCAGCCTGACACTGTTATCCTTATCTCATCCTAATCACCTTCCCAAGGCCCCAGCCTTGGCCCTGGCAGCCACTCTCTGATTAACTTCCACCTCCCCTCAGGAATGAATTGCGACACATGAACCCTTGGGGACCGGCTTAAACTGCATTCAATCCCCAGCAACGCAAACAGAAAAACATGTGGTCAGGTAGCTCACGGGTGGGCTGGGTGGGTAGAGCTGTGGTCTTGCACAAAGGTCTCACCCATTGATCGGCTGACTGACGGATTGCACAGCTGAGGACAGAGTCCAGGGCCTTGCACATGTGAGGTGCTGGCCTTGAGCTGACTTTGTAGCCCAGGCTGGTCTCGAACTTGCAGTAATTCTCCTGTCTCAGCCTCCCGCATGCTAGGATTACAGGTGTGCACCACCATGCCTGGCTTCCCTTCCCATCTTACCCTGAGACCTTTTCTTCGGCAGAGTCTTGCTATGTCTGTGTGGGGTTTTCCTCTGAGTGACAGACGGACGGACGTGATACCTGCAGGTCCACTGTAAAGAATCTGGGCGAAGGGGAAAAGGGGCTCTTCAAACCGTTCTTGCCATGTTTCTTTAAGTTGGGAAAGATTTCAGAATAAATCATTTTATGAAGTCCTGAAAACATGCCCCAGCGCTCTGTAAATCACAGAAGCGCTAAGCAGGGGCCCCGCGTATTACAGGAGCGGGGTGCTTGTGTGGGGTGGCGGTGTTTCCCAGGACAGCAGCAAAAGCAGATTTGTTTTCCACCACCACCACCCCCTGCCCGCATTAACCCCTTCTCCCCCAGGGAACCAGTGACGCAATCCACGGAGTCCACTGGCCCTGTGGCCAGGGTAGGGCCACACCTGAGCAAACACCAACCTCAGCTGGGGCTGGGCTGAGGGTTGAGGCCAGCATGTTGATGACTTCTGTGCCTTATCTTCTGTCACAGCAGAGTGTGCCCTTGCTGTCTGTTTATACAGAGCCTGTAATAAAACAAGAGCCTGGCTGCCTGGCTCCCGGGGCCTTGGGAATAGTGATACAGAGGTGACCTGTTTCCTGCCGTGCTGGCCGAACATTCCCACACCCCAAGGGCTGCTGTCTTAGGTTTGGAGAGGGACTCAGAGCAGAGGATTGGACACCATGAGCTCAAAGCCAGCCAGTGGTGACTTCAAACAAACAAAAACCCCCAGAAAAACAGGGCCTTGCTATGTAGTCCAGCATGGACTTGAACTCAGCATTCTCCTGCCTCTGCCTCCCATGAGCCGGAGCCTCACGCCTGTGCTGCCACACCCTGGGGGAAGCTGTGTTAGTGGGATGGTCAGGAATGGCCTTTGAAGAGGAGGAACTGAGTGAGGCTCAGCAGCGGCAGTGCGGGTGTTCCAAGGAGAAAATCCTGAAGGTCTCTGCCCTGGAAAGGGTAGGATTCAGGGTGAGGTCTGAATTCCACCTTGAAGAACAGCTTCCTCCTCCGTCTCCACCATCATCATCACTGGAGGGAGTGGGGCACCTGGCAGTGAACCCAGGGTCTTTGCACTGAGCTACATCCAAGACCCTTTTTACTCTTATTTTGAAACAGCCTCTTGCTAAGCTGCCTAGGCTGTGCTCAAACTTGAGATCCTCCTTCCTCAGCCTCCTAGAGTGCATCCCCGTGCCAGGCTCTGTCACCACCATCGTCCCCAGCAGCACCATCATGAGCAGCCTCACTCATCACACCACTGTTGCCACCGTCACCACCAAGACCATCACCACTGCGGGGAAGGGTTGAGCTGCGTCCTCCGGAAGCTGCGGAAGTCCTAACCTGAGGCTTTTGCAGATAATCAAGTTAAGATGCCGTGAAGAATGTGGGCCTGGGCTGGAAAGTGGCTCAGGGATAGAGGGCTCACCTGGCAGGTACAGGGCCCTGGATTCAACCCCTACCCCCTACCCCCTATCCCCAAAAAGTAGTTGTGACCCCTGATTCAGCATGACTGCTTTCCCTGTTCCTGAGCCAAACTTTGGACACAGGGACATGCACACCACCACCATCGCTGCCCTTGTCATCGCTGCCACCACCGTGGTCTTTGCCATGATCCAGTTTACTTAAAGTGGACTGTACCCTCCCCATGTGAGCATTGGGGTCCTGGTAACCCTCACCATGGCGCAGGCCCACACAGCTGCAAGTGTCCAGCCTCCCCGTGCCCCACGGCTGCCTCCCTCCCCCGTGAAGTCATCTCTCTCCTCTTCTGCTCACCTCCAGCAGCTGGAAGTCTGCTTGGACCGTGCCAACACCTTGAGCCGTTGCTAACCTTTGGCCCGGGAAGGACGCACAGGGCCCCTTGGAGGTCGTGTGTGCTGGGTCAGTGCCACCCAGGGAGTCCTGTGCTCCTCTTTGCGCTAGAAGTGCCTCTGTCCCCACAGAGAAGGCTGAGCCAGCTCTGAGGCCAGCAACCTCTTGCCACCCACCTTTCCATGTCGGGTTCAGGTGGCTGAAGACGGGTGTTACTGCTGCAGGCACCTGGGGCATCCTGGGCACACAGCCATCGTGTCTGGGAAGGAAGCGAATGCAAGTGGGGATAACCCGTGACCGTGAGGGTTGGAGCTGCTTGGATTTCCATGAGGAAGGAGGACGCATAACTCTCTGCATTTCCTGTTAGGCTCCATCATAAAAATGGCTCCATCCCTGCTGGCTAAATTTGTTTGATCCTTTTCCAGCCTAACCAGAACCACTTACCCATTCACTGACTGACTTTGACAGCAGTGCTGGGGACAGAACCTGGAGAGCACTGTGCCTCGGAGCCACATCCTCAGCGCCTCCTCGCCTTCTCCACTCAGAATTTTCCTGTCCCTGCCGGTCTGTACTCTAAGATATTTCTCCTGCAGGAAGAGGAGATGGCCATGGGTCCTAGACGCACTAGCTGTCTGCTGAGCCTGTGGCTATTTGCGGAACCTGGGGTTACCATAGCCCTCAGGTACTTAGGAGACTTGTCACGTTGTTTGCAAAGTCTTCAGCTGTTGACAGCTTCTGCAGAGGTTCAGCCAGCGCCTGTGCAGAACTCTGCAGTTAACATTGTTGTGAAATTTTGAAACAACAGTCTAAAATTGTTCTTTTGGGGGGCATTGTTAGTTGTTTTAGTTTGGTTTGGTATTGGGTTTTGGGTTTTGTTTGTTTGTCTTTTAGGTTTTTTTTTTTTTTTTTTTTTTTTTTTTTTTTTTGTCTTTCTGAGACAGGGTGTTGCTATGCAGTTCAGGTTGAGCTCACCTTGTAGCCCAGGTTGATCTCGAACTTGTGATGATTCTCCTGCCTCAGCCTCCTGAGTGCTGGGATTACACCACCACACCTGGCTTTGTTTTGTTTGTGGTGCTGGGAGTCAAACTTAGGGCCTTGCATATGCTAGGCAAGGGTGCTACACATGAGCTACTCCCTGGGGTTGAAAATGCAGTGTAAGGTTGGCACTTTTCTGTGCTACGTGCCTGTCTGCAGAACTAGCAGGTGTCTGCAGAGGCGGCAGGTGTGTGCAGGGGCAGTCTGTGATCCCCCATCTCCCACGGGCTCCAGCGAGACACCACCTGCCTTGTAGTGATCCAGCCACGTGGCTGCCCAGCCCTAGACTTCCGATCTCCAAACTGTACACCGAATAAACCTTTTCTCTTTGCAAATTGCCCAGCGGTAGGTATTGTGCTGTAGAAAACAGGCCAATAGCCTGGGCATCAGGCTCAGCTTCTGAACTGAGGGTGGACACTGTATTCAGCAGAGCATGGTGGGCGTCCCTGTCAGCCGATCTGAGGATACGGAAGCCCCCAGGCCCTGCCTAGAAGGAATTTTCCACCCAGCCAGGGAACGGCCCTGGGGCACACACAGACCACCCTGAGGACAGGTGGGAAGCCCCCCAAGGGTGCCAGAGGACTCAAGCCCCTCCTAACTGGCTGCCTACGTGCCTGTTCTCCACACATCTGGGTCGGCATCACCAGGAAGGACAAACTGCCTGTGTCCTTCAATCCCCCGCAGCCCCTTTCTCTCTGGGTCCTGATCCTTTCTAACACACACACATACACACACACACACACACACACACACACACAAAAAAAAAAGGATCTTTGCCTGGCATGATGGTGAATCCCAGTACTCTGGAATAATCCCAGCATGCAGGAGGCTGAAGCAGGAGGGTCACAGTGAATTCAAGGCCAGCCTGGGTTATATAGTGAGACCCTGTCTCAAAACAACATTAAAACAGAAGAAAAAGTAACTGAAAATTAACTTTGCAACAAATTCCTAGCCACCCAGCTGAGAGGTTTTTGAAATCTGAACCCTGGAGACGCTCTGGCCGTCAGTCACCCAAAGGCAGGTTCCCCTGAATGGTGAGATGCAGGGTGCAGCCCAGGCAGCAGGGGGAAGGGGGTGCAGCTGCCCTGGCTGCCGGTGGGGTGGGGAAAGCTCGCCGGGGAGGCACACCCAGCTTCTTGGCCTCAGCTGCAGCATGACTGAGTCTTTATTAATTGAATTCCTCTTTTCCCAGTGACTCATAGGCCTATTTCCAACAGGGACGCACCTGGTGTGGGAAGCAGGTCCAGCCTCGGCAGGAGCACAGGGCTGCCGCAGTTGGCCGCAGCCGGCAGCCGGCAGCCCTTCTGCCGAGGAAAGCCTCCTCCTTTTCCTCCTGCAGAGGAAAGCCTCGCGCTAGGCCAGTGGTGGCGAACCCAGGGCACGAGCGCCACTGCAGGCTTTTTCTACCGCTGAAATCTGGAAAAGCTTCGCCATCCCTGCTCTGGGCTCTCCTGCCTCTGGACGAGCTCGTCTGTGTTCTCAGACTTCACCCTGGACTCTCACGCGGGATCTGTAACTGACAGCTGTCTCTCCCTCCGGTCTTCAGAGCAGGGGGTCCACCCCACCTCCTGTCTCACCTGAGACTGGTTCACAGAGGAGCGTGGGAGAAGGCAGTGGTCACCACACCACACAGGCACACCTGTCCTTGCAGGTTCCGGAATTCCTGGTCCTTCACCCACATTGTCCTCTGAGCTTCTTTGCCCAGGTTGCCATGAGCAACTTGCTCTTTAAAAGTTTCCAACAGAGTTCATCACTTTCGTGCTGATTTTTTTTTTTTTTTTTTTTTTTTTTGGTGGGGCTGTTGGCTGTTATGGATTAAGAACTGGTGGTTAACTTAATGCCAGCTGGATTAAGTCACTATGGCGCTAAGCATAGATGGTCCACCTGAGGAAAGTTGTCACCATAAATGGAGATGTGGAGAAGGAGAAGGGAGGCGCTGAGGCACTGTGGGTTCTCCTGGAGAAGCTCTGGTCTGCACATCGAGCATTGCTTTCTGGTTCCGGAGCAGAAGACGTGTGCCGCTTGGTCTCTAGGATGAACTCATCACGCTGGCTTCCTGGCATGTACCCGACTGTGCCTATCATCGGAGGAGCTCAGGGTCTCCGTGTCACTGAGGATGGTTGTGGGGCCTTTGTTGTGAGTGTGACTTCTCGGCTCCAGCGTAGAACCCTCATCCCACCAGCACAGCTCCTTCACCCCGCTGGCACAGACTTTCTGGCTTCCACCGCTGACCTTTGGGCCTTCCCGGCACGGATCTGTTAAAGAGACTGGCGTGAGTCCTTTCTGTGGGCTCTGGACCTCCAGGTAGACTTGTGGGAGGCATTGTCCTGAGCTCTAGGTCTTCATCTGGACTCATATAGGACATTGCTGTGGGACTCAGGCCCTTGGCTGAATATTCTATGTCTTTAGAGCTGTGGACAGATTTCCCGCACTTTCTTGTGTTAACTCTGCGTGATCATCATAAAATAATATTCTAAACTCCATGTCCTGATTCTAATTGTTCTCTCTACAACCCCTGACTACAACAGGGGTGCCAGGAATCAAACTCGGGACCTTGTGCTTGTGAGGCAGGCGCTGTGCCCCTGAGCTGCATCCCTGTCCCTGAGAGGGGTCATCACTTTTGCTTCCCAGCTGCACTGTCTGCTTCTTTCCTGCTTTGGAGTCACCTGGATGGCCAGCTGCCAGGATCTATCTTGATGGTCCTGCCTCCAAAAGGACCCCAGGTCCCCCTTTGTTCCTCTCATCCTCCACCCAGGCAAGGCCTCAGTGTCCTTCCTGCTCTCCCTGGATTCCCCACTCTCCACATCAGATTCTGGGATCACCATTCAGTCAGTCAACAAACACACCCAGCACTGTCGAGAGGACAGATCCAAGCCTCATAGCAGGTATTTTTAGTTGGTGGGGGCTTTCTCTCTCTACTTGTCTGGAAAGAATGCTTCTCTGCTGTCTTTTAGTTTTAACATTTTTAATGCACAGCCAGGAGCGCATTTTACATATTTATAAAATTCCAGCACTCTGGAGGCTGAGGCAGGAGGATCACTAAGCATTCAAAGCCAGCCTGGGCCACACAGCAAGACAGGGAGTGGTGGCACACACACTTATAACCCCCGAACTCAGGAGACCGAAGTTAGAGGATTAAAGTGAGTTTGAGGCCAGCCTGGGCTACAGAGTGAGTTCACAGCTAGCCTGGACTGCATAGCGAGACCTTGTCTCTAACAAACAAACCGATATATGACATGGAACAGTTGTTCATAGAGAGACTACTAGAAAATGCAGGTAACCAAGAAAATTAAAATCTCTCATTTCCCTACTAGTCTTTCTACTCTCTGATGTCTCCTGCCCCCCCAAAAAGGAGGGGTCACCTTTTGTGTATTTCTAGACACTTTTATTTCCCTACTGCATGTTTTAAGCACCCCTCTAGCAGGGGCTCACAGCCCATTCGGCACGGCCCTGGGGCTCCCAGCTGCCGAGCCCCGGATAACAGGTGCCCTTCCTCAACTAAAACCCCAGTGCTCAGGCTTAACCACAGTGCTGGCACTTTGCTAAAGAAGTGGGTTGGAGGTTGCAGCGTGGGCACTTGGTCTCTGAAAGTTTCACTGTCCCTGACTTAATCCCGGTACTCAGGAGGTCCAGGCAGGAGGCTCTCCCAGTCTGGGGCCACCCTGGCTTATACTGCCAGGTTTTATTTCAAAAACAAACACAAAGAAAATCTTGCAGTTTATGTCCCTTCCTGCCTCTAATTTATTTATCCGTTCAGCAAATATTTTTTTGACTTTTATGTTTTAACTGGCAAAGTTTGTGCATATTTACACTGTGCAATATACTGCTGTGAAATAGTTTTACCTTGTGGAGTGGTCAAATTCCGCAGTTAACACAGGCATTAGCCAGCGTGCTTATCACATTTACAGTGAGGACACCAAACCTGCTCTTAGCCATTTTCAAGTACACAATACATTGCTGTTAATCACAGTCAGCAAATATATAAAATACACAGAGAAAGCAAGAATGTAGCGGCTTTGTTTTGTTTGTGTTAATGAGGTTATGGAACCCTGGACCTCACATACTAGACAACAGCTCCAGAAGCGGGGTTTAGCTCAGCGCCCTAGCACCTGCCTGGCAAGTGCGAGGTCTTGAGTTCAATCCCCAATACCAGGAAAAAAAAAAGACAAGTGCTCCACTACTGAGCCACACCTTCAGCTGCAGCCACTGTAGCCCCAAATTACCAGGCAGAGGCCTAGACCCCAGGACAGGGACACCAGCCTAGTGGGGGAGACGGATGCACAAAGGAACCGTCACCGCTCTCAGCCATGCGGGGGCACAGGGTGGGGCGGTGGGGCGCCAGGGAAGGCTTCTCCCCAAATGACATGGGTGGACAGCAGCACATCCAGGGCGGCGCCACCCAGGGAGCCCACAGAAGCCTTTCAATCCTACAATCAGAGGGACAGAAACGAACTCTCAGGTGCATTTGGAGAAACGCCTTTATCTGTGATTGTATTATGACTGTTACCTAACCAGGCTGCTTTGCCCGCTGCCCAAAGGTCAATCCCTGAGGCCGTGAGTTTTGCCAAAACAGAGAAAGTTTTAGTCAAGAGGCGAGAGAGGACGGGGCTTAGAAGCATTTGCGAGATGGGAAAGCAGGGTGACTCGGGTGGGGAAACTGAGGGAAGGCGGTTGCGCACGCGTAGAGTTCCTGGCTCTGCATAGGGCGCATGCTCAGAAAATGGGGTCTGCAGGAGGATCTGAAGGCGGGGGCTTGGGCCACCTGACGTCAGTGAATGTTTAAACCATGGCAGAGGTGACCTACGGTACAGCAGGCAGGAGTCCACAATTTGGTATTCCTGAATTTCAAAATGCAAGAATGTGCTCTTAGGTTTTTAAGTAGGGAGGAGGATGGGTCAAGCTTTTAAAATAATAATAATGATATTATTATGATAATATAATATGATATTAATGATTATAATATTATTATTAATATGTTTATTTTTGAGACTGGATTTCCTTAAATAGCTAAATTTCCCCAGATGGCCTTGAAGTATGATTCTCCTGCCTCAGCGTCCCAAGTGCTGGGATTACCAGCATGTACCACCAAGCCCAAACATTTTAAAGGAGAAAAGTTATTCATTTCTTTTCTTTTTTAATTTTAAAGAGGCAGAATAAAACCAATCAAAACAAACCAGTGTATGAGATACAGGACTTCAAACCATTACAAAATCAACATTAATTACCATAACTGAATGTCTTCAAAAGAGCTGCAGATAACTTTGGACATAGTAAAAATCAAACAGAGCAGAATAGAGCTGAAACAATAAAAACAAGACAATGAATGCAATAAAAGACTTTGAAACAAGCCAATAGTAAATACAAAATTGCTACCATAATATATCTTGCTATCTTGGAAATAGCTGCTCCTGCCGTTGGGTTTAACAATCAAACAAAACAAAAGAAAATAAAACCCAACCCAACGAAACAACCAAAACGATACAGGACTTCAAAACAAGACTGTAGGGAATCAACAATGGCTGCCACCCTCAGCAGGAGTCCCCCCAGATGCCACACTGAGTACCACTACCCTCTGGACCCATGATCAGACCACTGGCCCTAGACCTGCAGTGTCAGTAAAACACCAAGCACCATGGCATCCGGTTGCATTTCACTTATATAGCTATCCTCACAGCCTGTGTGTCTGGTTACGCCGATTGCTTACAGTGGCAGGAGTGGGTACTTGTTTGCCAGCCTGTGGCTGGAAGGGGCTGGGGTCTGGCTGTTCAGTCTGACAGCGGCCCACGCATGGCGCTGGTTCCCAGGCTGGGTTGCTTGTTGGTGTGGCCTTGTTCTCTGTCCCCTAAGTCCTCCAGTGGTGCAGGCTCATGGGAAGGGGCTTGGGTCTGGCTGTTCCTGGTCTGGTGACGGCCCACGCCTGTTGATTTCATTATGAGGACTTGGTTCAGTTTATATTAAAGACATTTGTAAAATGTCATTCACAGAGGAAGGGAACTTATGATGGAAAGGGTGCTTGGAATCCATGAAAGCATATGGCCTGGTGGAGCAGAGAGAGGGGGAGGCCCAGATAGGTGGGCAGGGCTGGACCTGGCAGTCCCGTGGGAACTGCTGGCATCATCCTACAAGCCATGGGAAAGCAGAGAATTAACAAGCATTTTACTGACTTTCTTTTCTTTCTTTCTGTTTTTTGTTTGTTTGTTTGTTTGTTTGGTACTGGGGATCAAACTCACGATTTCCAGGCAGACATGTAAGTCACTGAGCTAAATCCTTGGCCTTTTTTGAACCCACTTTGTAGCCCATGTTGGCCTCAAACTCGCAGCAATCCTCCTGCCTCAGCCTCCCAAGTGCTGGAATTACAGACATGTGCCACCACACCCAGCTTTACTGATTCTCAAACAAATATTTTTTTTTTTAAGAAACCATGGCATCAACCAGGGTTGGTGACACACATCTATAATCCTAGCACCCTGGGAGTCAAGGCAGGAGGATTGTAATTTAAACCCAGCCTGGACAATTTAGCAATTTGGTGAGACTGTCTCAAAATGTAAAATTAAAAGGGGGCTGGGGATGTTGCTCAGCTCAAAGGTACCTTTTTCCTTTTCTTTTTCTTTGCAGTGCTGAGGGACAGAACCCAGGGTCTCTGGTGTGCCAAGCAAGCAGCCTCCCACTTAGCTACACCTCTGGCCTGAGATAGAAATGATCCCAAAGGCCACCTAGAGCTTCGACCTTGCGAGGTTAAACGCAGAAATGCTGTCACGAGCTGGGCCTAGCTGTGTCAGGAGGTCCTGAGGCACCCAGGGCCCCCATGCCTGTGAGCTACCACCCAGAACTCCCGGGACAGGCGTCCTCCGCACCAAGGCCAAAGTCCTGTGTGTGTTCAAATTCTGTTTACGGCCCGGCTCCCCCTGGACACTGACTCAGGAGGCAGAAATTCCAGGAATCCCAGTTCCTCCTCTACTTGGCACCCTCTTCCTCCACCACCACCTCCTCCTCGTCCTCCTCCTCCTCCTCCTCCTCCTCCTCCTCTCCACCCTCACCCAGCCAATCCCTGGGCCTTTGCCCCTTTGGGGGACAAGTGACCAATTGTCCCTGCGACCTTCACATCCCTCTCAAGCAGCTGTGCCAGGCTGGACAAAGTGGCCATGGGCTTCCAACTCTAGGACTGCGCGTGGCCAGGGGCCCAGGGGTGTGGGACATACAGGGCGTCAGGGCCCTGCTGCTGAAAACCTTCCAGGGACGGTTTGGTTCAGAAGCCAGGCTGGGTGACACAGCACTCAGGCGACTGAAGCAGGAGGATCACCTGGGCTACACAGGCAAATAACAACAAAAAACTGTGTTTCCGTTGCAGGAGCCTCTCTGGCAGTCTGCTAATGCCTATTGACTTCTTCCTGGTGTACTCTTTGGTGCCTTAGTTGTTTTTATGGTGTTTTTGTTGTTCTGGTTTGACAATACTGGAGATTAAGCCCAGGGGGTGCTGAGCTACATTCCCAGCCCCTCTTTTTGATAATTTTATTTTGAGATGGGTGTGGTGACCCATGCTTGTAATCCTAGCACTCGGGAGGCTGAGGCAGGAGAATCACCATGAATTCGAGGCCAGGCTGGACGACATAGTGAGTCCAGGCCAGCCTGAACTGCATATCTATCAAGACCCTGTCTCAAAAAACAAAAACAAAAACCAAAAAAAACAAAACACCACGAGTAAATAAATAAAATAAAATTTCATCTTGACACAAGAGCTCCCTAAATTGCCCAACTAGCTTTGAACTAATGATCCTCCTGCCTCAGCCTCTCACATAGATGGAATTTACAGGCATGTGCCACCACAGCTACTCCTGATGTAGAGTTTCAACATTCACAAAAGACACTGTGTTATAAAGTTCAGCAATTCTGTTAAAACTTAATTATGAAACAATTTCCTAAAAGTAAAGTTTGTGAGCCCATCACAGTGGTACACATGTATAGATATCCCAGCACTTGGGAGGCGGATGCAGGACTGCCACAAGTTCCAGGCCAGCCTGGGATCCATAGTGGGCTCAAGGCCAGCCTGGACTACCTACCCAGCAACACAGGTGTGAGTCCCTGGGTTTGGCGCCCAGTACTGTAAAATAAAGGGAGAGAGAGAGAGAGAGAAAGAGAGACAGAGAGAGAGAGAGAGAGAGAGAGAGAGAGAGAGAGTGTGTGTGTCCAGGCCTCCCATACAGCAGGCTACCTGCCCAGGCCAGGATGAGGGGAAGATTTCTTGTGCTGCTGGTGCACCCGTTACCCCAACAATGAGTGTGAGCTGGGCTGAACTGGTCCTGTGTTCTGAGGGCAGCCCGGACGAACTCGGAGTTGGTGGTGGTAAGCAGGCCCCACTCACCCTGGGCACTGGGAGAAGGCATTCCGGGAATCAAGGACAGTTGGTGGGACACTTATGCATCACAGCCTCCCGTGTGACTTAGAGGTGCAGGTGACTCCTCCGGGACAGGAGTGCTCCGGTTTCTGAGTTGTTTGGTTACTGAGTTTTTTTTTCTCACTATAGAAATTGTAGGTGTCGCCGCACAGTAGTGAAACCTGATATTCCCGTGTCCCTGGTGTAAGAGAAAGACTTTGAAATGGCAATAAAAATCTATCTGGAATCAAGCAGCCAAAAAGCACCATTGGGACAAAGGACAAACTCCCGAGCCTGAACCTGTTACTCATTAAAAGCGCAGTCTGCGTTTTCTCCTGCGATAGGAACTTAAAAGTGGTTTTCGCAGTAAAATCTGGCCGGGTCTGCAGATGCCCAATGGGTAACTAAACGTAGAACAAAGCTGGAGCCTGACATTGTAAACCCGGGGTCACATTCTTTCTTCAGTTCTGCGTGCAGACGGGTGAGGGTGTTGGGGGGTGCCAGTCTAAGGGTTGGCAGAGCCCTCAGTGTACTAGGCAGCATTTCCCTGGCCTCTCGCGTCCCCCTTTAAGGTGGAGACAGCCAGGGGAGAGCAGGTACGCTGAGTTGCAGGGTTCACAGGAACATCCATTTATCCGCTCTTATCTGGGCCGGATCGATCCCCTCCCCAGAGCGACCTTGGAGCAGTCACTGGCTGCTGTCCTGAACCTGTGGTCACCTGCGTCCCTGGGACAGAGGAACTCATGACTGAAGCCACCACCAGGAAAGATCCCTCAAGCCATGGCAAGAATAAGGACGGAGACAACATCAGCTGACCCTGGCTCACCTTAGCTCAGGCTTAAAAGCCAGCTGTGTGTTTTTGCATGGGTCACGGGGGGGCCAGCCCTTCCCAACCTACCAAGCTCGGCCCCTCGAGCTACTGCACAAGCTGGTCCTTTTTTTCTTTTAAGCAACCACTCACACTAACTGGTGACAAAATGCTCAGACACACACATTTCTCAATAACTTAACTGATGCTCAGAACAAAGGACAGGTAGTTTTGCTTTTTTTTTTTTTTTTTTTTATTAAAGATAGGGTCTCACTATGTAGCCCAGCCTGACCAGCTGAGCTCTCAGCAATCTTCCTGCCTCAGCCTCCCTAGTGCTAGAATTACAGGTGTGTGCCACCGTACCTGGCCACTGTTTGCATGTGTGTGTGTGTGCGCCTTAGCCTCCTGAGTGCTGGGACTACAGGCATCAGCCACTACGCCTGGCTCTAGATTCTTTATATTATGGCAAAAAAAAATGTAGTATCAAATTTACTGTCTATTCTGGGGATTGTGGAGCTCACTGGTAGACTTCCTGTCACACACGCGAGAGCCTTGAAAACAGTTTTCGCCATCCTAACCTGTACAGTGGTGTCACTTCTATTCACACTTTATTTACTTGCTATTCTCCAATACTGAGGATGGAGCCCAGGGCCTTACACTTTTTTTTTTTTCTTTTTGTATCAGGACTCAAACTCACAAAGCTGCACCTGCCAGGCAGGCACCATGCTGCTGAGCTTTTTCCCTGGCCCACCCCCTGCACTTTTTATTCTGTTTTTTGAGACAGGCTCTTGCTAAATTGCTAAATTGCCTAGGCTGGGCTTGAATTTTTGATCCTCCTGCCTCAGCCTTCCAACATGCTGGAATTATAGGTATGCACTGCTACATGCCTGGTTGATATTCACATTGTTATGCAACTGATCTTTAGAACTTGTTTGTCATGCAAAAGTGAAACTTCATGCCCGTTTGCACCCTTTACATAGAAATGCTTCTCTTCCCATCTCTCAGCCTCTGGCAACCACCCTGCACTCAACTTTCTGCTTCTAACAGTTTCACTACTGTAGCTGCAAGCATGAGGGCATCATCTATGATTTGTGACTTGGTATCCCACCACCAAGGTTCACTTACATTACAGAACAGGTCAAAATTTCCTTTTTAAGGTTTTGTAATACTCCATGGTGTACACAGGTTGCTTTTGCTCCTTTTTTAGTGTAGACATTTTATTACTCGGTGATTTTAGTTTGCCTCGTGATGACTTTCTAACGTTGCGTAGTAAGATTGACTGGCCATCTAAATGAACTGACCACGCAGGAACCTTTCTAATTGAGTAAGTGCAGGATTTATGGACATGAAAATATTTTTGTTTTGTTTTGTTTTTGAGATAGGATCTCGCTATGCAGTTCAGGCTGGCCTTGAACTCAGTGTGTAGCCCTGAATGCTGGGATTACCTAACCCAGCTGGACATGAAAATTTAACAGAGATTTCTCCTAGGTTTCCAAATGATGCATTAGAAATACAACAAGTTTACAAATAATTGATAATTTTTCATAATGCAGGTTACAGTGGAAGGCATTTGACACTATTGCAATATTAAAACAGAATTTGACTATGTAAAAGCTCTAGAGCTTTTTTTTTGAAATAAGGAAATAAAGTTTTCAAGTCATTGTAATATTGAGTCAATTTGTGTTCTTCATGACCTTTTCATATATTTCTTTTTCATTTTGTCAGTTTATTTTGCTTTTGTTTTGAGGCAAGGTCCCCCCAGTTCAGGCTGGCCTTGAACTGATTATGTAGACTAGGCTGGTCTCAAACTTGAGACAAACTTCCTGCCTCAGCCTCCCAAGTGCTTAGTATGTGTGCTACCCTCTCATTTATACCTCCTTTGATTAGATATGATTTTCAGAGGAAAACTAACATAAATAGATATATTACTGTTGTATTTAGGGTTGGGGCAGAGAACAATTAGAATCAGGACATGGAGTTTATAATATTTTTATAATGGTCACTGGGAGTTAACACAAGAAAATGCAGGAAATCTATCCACAACACCAAAAACATAGAATATTAGTCAAGGCCAAAATCCCACATCAATGTCCCACATGAGTCCAGATAAAAACTCAGAGCTCAGGACAATGCCTCCATGAGTCCAACTGGAGGTCCAGAGCCCACAAGAAGGACTCATGCCAGTCTCTTTTATGGGTCTGTGCTGGGAAGGTCCAAAGGTCAGTGGTGGAAGCCAGAAGGTCCATGCCAGCAGGGTGAAGGAGCTGTGCTGGTGGGATGAGGGTTCTACACTGGAGCCGAGAAGTCACACTCACAACAAAGACCAGGGCTGTCCTGAAAGGCACCACAGCCATCCTCAGCGACATGGAGGCCCCGAGCTCCTCCGACAACAAGCACAGTCGGGTACATGCCAGGAGGCCAGCGTGATGAGTTCATCCTGGAGACCAAGTGGCACACGTCTTCTCCTCTGGAGCCAGGAAGCAATGCTCGATGTGAGGACCAGAGTTCCTCCAGGAGAACCAACAGTTCAAATAGCAATTGGTAGGAGAACCCACAGTGCCTCAATGCCATAGCTTCTTCTTCTCCACCTCTCTTTATCCTGGCAACTTTCCTCAGGTGGAGCATCTACACTCAGTGCCAGGCTGATGTAATCCAGCTGGTGTTAAGCTGACCATCAGTTCTTAATCCATAACAATTACCAAACAAAAATAGGTGATATCTGACTTAAAATGGTTAGACTTACTGGTTTTTTACTTTACAAAGTTGCCAAAACAATACGCATTCAGTAGGAACTACACTTGAAGCTGGGTGATCCCAGCCCTTAGGAGGCTGAGGCAGGATGATCACTGCGAGTGCAAGCACAGCTTAGACCACGTAGTCAGCTCAAGGCCAGCCTGGGTTGTGACATTAGGAGATGCAAAAGAACAAAACAAAGACAAAAACACTGTACTTTAAATCTTTGATCCTTTCCCAGCTCGAAGTATGCTTAGTACTACAGCCCTGGTGATCCGCTGGGTAGCAAGGGGAAACACTGCCACCCCACAGCATACCACATCACGGTGCTGACTTACGGTGTTGGGTGGCTTTAGAGTATGAAATGCATTTCCCATCTCAGGTATCTGGATTCATCCCAGTGGATTTCTCCCTGCGTAAGCCCCGTCTGTCCAGGAGCACCTGTACCACAGTAATGGCATTTCTGCGACCTTACCAAAGGCTTTGCAGTGTTTATTTTATCAAGAAGATAACCCCCTCACCTAGTGCAGAAGAGGAAGAAACAAAGCTGGAGGTGGATCCCTTGGTGGTCAGAGCCTGGCCTAAAACAACTGCCCCTATGCTGCCCATTTCTCCCAAGAGGACTCAGCCATGGCTGACCAGCCCCTTCAGCCCTCCCCCTCCCCGCTTTTTTTTTTTTTTTTGCTAAAGCTTTGAGACCTCTCAAAACTAAGTGTAATTATTGGCTGCTGCCAAGGTGAAGTTCAACTCCATTCTCAAAGCCGGGTTGCGCACACGCCATTGGAATGTTTGCTTTCTCTTTTTGCAGCTCCAGGGAGGGAACCCAGAGCTTCCTGCATCCTAGGCAAGAGCAGAGCTACATCCCCAGCCCAGCAGGAATGGATTTAGTTATCAGCCCAGTAAGGAAATATACATCCCACCTCCTACCCCTGCATACAGACCTGCCCCTTTCCCAGGCAGCGACTGCCACCTCCCAGCCAACCCCTCACCCCAGCAGCCTCCCAGCCAACCCCTCACCCCACGGGCTAGAGTCCCCATGGAGGCCCATGGTGGGCTGGGAGTGGGGAGCCTGGTCTCCACCCTCAGCTGTGTGTGGAGTTGGGTCAGGCCACGGTAAAGGTGCCAGGTGGGCAAAGGTCGGAGGAGAGGAATCTGTCGGGTGCTTCCTTAGGGAGCACACAGGGGGCCACAAAAGACAAAAACATCTGCAGACCCAGAGCTGTTGTACCCCAAAATGTTGTCCAAAAACGTGGCAAGACATCTTTTTTAATGAAAAGCGCTTTTTATTTATCCTAGCACCAGTGACACAGTGCAGTTGGAGTTTGCAAAACTGTGTAACTCGCTTAAAATTTTGACAGATTTTTATAGAAAGGACAACCACAAAGTAAATGATCCATGGGTGTGGATCAGGAATGAGGAAATCCTTTGTTTCTCTTTGCTTGAGAACAGAGAAGATTCCCGGGAATTTACAGTCCTTTGTCAGCTAATTTCAGCACTTAATTTTTAGATGGCATCTGTCCTTTGCAGAGGGCAACAATGGTTAACATATCAATCAGGTCACCCAGGAAGATGGCGCATACAGAACAGTATGACTGCACTACAGTTATTTTGTAACAATGTGGTCATGCCTCAGGTCTTCCAGTTGTAGAAAACAGTTGCATTTGCAAAGGGAATTAACAGGTAATTTGGTCATATAACTTGGGCATTGGCAAACATAACAGGATAACGAAGCTCTTTTTGCTAGTGTACAGTCAGAGCCACCCCTTGAATCGCACTCCTGCAACCTTTAGGCCATGGCGGGATTTGGAGAGTCCTGGATGACTTCCTTGTTACTCTCAGACAGCCCACTGCTCTCCCCTGGAAACAAAGGCCCGGGAGCACGGGACAGGCTGCAGGGACTGCAGCCTTGCACATTTGTCCTTTCAGAGATCAAGAAACCAGGGCCCAGGCGCTGGTACTGGCAGAAGGGTGTCGCTCCAGGCCTGGGCTGCTGGTGGAGACACTGAAAAAACTAACCCCTTCCCCAGCTTCTGTTTCCTGGCCGGGAAAGGATCTGATCACAGGCAGATCCTGAGGGGCACGGCTCTCGGTAGTAAGGAGAGAAAGGAACAACCTGGGTGCCTACTTTTGACAAGTACTTTCATGGCTCAAATTTACTGTTTACGAGGTAACATGCGCTGCGGGGCCATCCAGAAAAAGGCAGGCTCTGCACCTCCCCAGCTGACATTTCTCTAGGGCTGTCGCAATTTTAAATAGGCTTGAGCTTATGAAAGAGGTCAAGTGTTTCCGGTGCAGGGAGAGCGTGGCTGCTTCGGCTGTGCTTTCCAGACTCACAGTATCAGCAGGGCAGGTGAGACTGGGGCGAGGGGAGGAGCGAGCACCGCCTAGTTTGTGGTGCGATCGATCGGTTCTTCCTATCCTCGGATTCCCCTGCCCCCCAGCTCCTGCAGCCCCTTTTTTAGATTCCTTCCCTCAGGATTTTAGGAAAGCAAACGAGAAGTCAGGAAGAGACTTGAGAGTCAGGCTTTCTTGGAAGGAACATCAATAAATGAAAATTCGATTACAAGACCAAGAACAGCAATACATCCCTGACCTCAGTCACAAGGTGCATGACCGTCTTAACCAATGCGTGCGCGGTAATAATCAACACGAGGCCCGCAGGCTGCTACCCTCCGGGCGCCGCGCGGTGAGGTCGGTGAATGGCGCAGTGCAAGCGTTGTGGCTTGCAGCGCGCACCTCGCGGTCGCGGCTCCACCAGAGCGACGCTGGCAGGGGCGGGGCTTGAGCAGGGGCGGGGCAGAAAGGGGCGGGGCTTATGACCCCTCCCCCTCGCCTGGGTCTGGCGCGGGCGGGCAGAGCGAGTTTGGCGCTAGTTAAAGAGGCGTGCGGAGGCGGGCGCTGCGCACAAGGCTGGAGCGCGCTGGGGAGCGATACACGTGTCTCTTCGGAGTTAGAACCTCAGTTTAGCCCGCTTCTTACACCTGGGCAGGTTCGGCGCGTCCACTCGACTCCCCTTTGGTGTTTGCCGAGCCCTTCCAGCCGCGCAGCTCCCCGCGATCGGTGGGCTAATTTGGCCCGGCAACTTTGCCCCGGGAGTGGAGCCGGGGGGGACCAGGCACTGCGCATGCGGAGCTCCAAATTCAAACAGCTGTTTGCAGAGGCTGCGGGCGGGCGGCCGGGGAGTCGCTGGGGCTAGGGGAGCTTTCTGGAGGGGGCGGTTGGCCAGGAGCCATGGTGGACCGGGGTCCTCTGCTCACTTCGGCCATCATTTTCTACCTGGCCATCGGGGCGGCGATCTTCGAAGTGCTGGAGGAGCCGCACTGGAAGGAAGCCAAGAACAACTATTACACACAGAAGTTGCGTCTCCAGCGTGAGTTCCCGTGCCTGAGCCAGGAGGGCCTGGACAAGATCCTGCAGGTGAGCCGCTGCCGATGCCCCCATAGACACTTTAAACTGTTTGGAGCTATAGGGGTACGGCCTCTGATGACCCTCGGTCCCTGGGGGAAGGTTCTGGTGTGACGGGAGGGGAGGTCTCCGCCTGGATTAGTCGCTCACGCGCGGAGACTCGTCTCTCCTGGGGAGAGAACTTGGGGCTGACTCCCGAGTGAATTGGGGCCCGCGGTGGCGCGGTGTGGGTGCCTCCCTCTTTGGAGGGAGGCTGTGGGGCGGATAAAGGCGTTTATCTTTTCTTGGAGACGCTCTCGGAGTCCGGGAGCCGAGCGGGGTGCCACCCGTTGCGTCTCCACTTCCCTGCTCCTGGGCCAGTGCCGCCCTGCCCGGCTTCTGAACCCCGCGAAGCTGTGCAAGGGTCCCCAAACCCAAAGCTATGCAAAGTCTCCTTGTCCCCGCAGGGGCTCCCGGAAAAGATGGGAACCCCGTTGGGCCTGAGCGCACGGTATGAGTGAGGGCTGGTGGCTGGAATGCTGGTGACTAGGTCAGGCTTCCAGGAAGGCTTATCTCTCGGAGACATCCCTTAAGGGCTTGGGAGTTAAACTTCATGAGAGCAGCAGCTGGCACCAGCGAGCAAACGCCTGTTGTCCTTTTTCGGGTCGGAAGGACTGTGTTCGGAAGGGGGGCTCCTTCAGGGTTGGCATTAGGAGCCTCTTCTGGCGCGCGCGCCTAGTGCGTGCACTGAGCTCACTTGGGAAACTGGGGTGACCATGCGAGCTAGGACCTTGGGCCGCTTCGGAGACCAGCTCTTGCTCTATCCCAGCTCTGAGGGCTCAGCCTCAACCTTGCACCCTTCCCGGCCGACATTAAAGGCCTCCACTCATTAGGAGAGCCGGCGGGTGGTTGGTGGGTTGTTCAAGGTACTGCGTTTCCCCTGGGGTGGAAGACACCAACAAGGCGATCTGGTGAGAAACGTTTAATCCACAGCAGCTCTCTAGTACTGTCTAGCGCTCTCACGCCACGCGTGGAATGGGAAAGAACCTATCTTGGCTCCTCTTTCCAGCCCTGTACTTTTGTAGGTTGGATGCATTTGGAAAACGTGAAGATGTCTTGTCAGGACTACCTTCTTTTTTGTTCCCTGGACCAGACGGACACGCGCACAAATGTGCATTTAGGTGTCTCTTGGCAGCAGGGGCTGTAGACAGTTGACCTCTGGTGACCATAGAAAAGCTGGCAGGCGCTGTGTGCATTTCAGCGGCATCTCACGCGCTGGGGCTGTGTCTGGGGTGAGGGGCTGGGAGGTTGGAAGTGAGCTTTAGAAGATGCTTGGTTGTTTTTCCTCTCTCCTCCTGGCAGGAATTCCGGAACAGTACTGGTTCTCTTGGTGGGGTGTCTTGTGTGTGTGGCTGCAGGGAGCCGGTTGCTTTATGATTTCCTTTGAGGAAATAATCCTTCCGGTGGAGAGGTGGTTTTTTTTTTTTTTTTTTTTTTTTTTTTTTTTTTTTTTCTGTTTGAGACAGGGTCTTGTTATGCAGTTCAGGCTGGCCTTGAGCTCACTTTGTAGCCTAGGCTGGTCTCCAGCTCACAACAATCCTCCTTCCTCAGCCTCCCGAGTGCCGGGATCACGGGCAGGTCTGCGGGTTTAGGTGGAGAGTTTTTTGTCCAGTTTGCTCTGGGGCCTTTTGGGGGGAGGGGGAGGATGCTAAGGCCTTGAGCTGCCCTCGGGGTGTTTCCCTGCTGCTGCTCCTCAGCCACTGCAGGGGAAGGAAGGAAAGAATTCAAGGCTAGATGTGGGAAAATAAACTTCAAAACAGAAGGGGAAGAGAAGGGGGTGGCCCAGGGGTTAGGCAGCCAAGTGTGCAGCTGGTGGTGGTAGCTTTGGAGGCTAGACTGCTTCCTTAAGGTGTTCCGGACAGAGAAGACACCTTTTATGATTCAGGTCCTGCTTGATACATCAACAGTCCTCCACTCCCACGAAAAAAAGTGGATAGATCAATTTAGAAGGATTTGGGCTTTAGTCCAGCTAATCTGGACATGGATTATAGATAGATTAGTTCTTGAACATGGATACCTCTGTCCTTAGGCCCAGCCTAGAAAATAAACAAATAGACAAAAAAAAAAAACCAGATCATCTGTAACTGGGACTGTCCCCTCCTTGCATAGGAAAAAACCCAAGAAGTGGAAACCAGTGAAAGTCTTTGCCAGCAGGAGTTTTAATCAGCAGAATCTGCCTCGCCAGGCTTTCTGATCTGTGCCTTGGAGCATTGCTGCTCAGTCTCAGGAAATTGGTTTAAGGAAAAATGAGAACTCAAAAAAAAGAAAAACCTTTCTTGTCGGAGCTGCTCAGGCATCTTCCACCTGAAGGTCTGCATTGTGTCACTTCTGAACTGCCTTGTGATCTATCCTAAAGGAGCCCCTCCAACCCCGAGGCTGGGGGTCAGAAAGGGAGGTGATCCCTTCCCTTTAGAAATCCTCCAGTCATCAGGTCCTTCCTCCTTCGCTTACCCGGCAGGGTTTCTCTGGCCCCCTGCTTGGGGCCTCAGGGTTGCCCTCCTTCTGTCTTCAAAACCATCTTGAATCCTGATTCCAGCCATAGCTGTCTCAGGGTTTAGCGGCCAGCTCTCCCAGCCTCTTGCTGCTTTTTGCCTCTGTTTGCTGTACTGCAGAGGCTCCTGCAAGGGACACTGGTGTTTACTGTGCCCCACGCTGTGTTGGCCATCCTGCGTGGGCTGCCTTGGGAGGCATCTGGCTTTTGCCATGTGGCTTGGCCATGTCCCCCTCCCACCAAGCCAGTTAACTTACCTTTGCCTCCTTTTCCTCATCTGCAAAACTAGGGCTCAGTGAGGCTCCGGGAAATGAGAACCATAATCAAGATACTGTCTCCTGCCTCTGGCTTTGATTGAGCCTTGTAAGGAAGGTGGCTTCTCAAGTGTTCTACCTGCAGCAGGTCAGCTGCTCTTCACGGTGACACTGCCTTCAGATAAGGAAACTGAAAAGTTAAAGTGGCCACAACGAGAGGCCCAGCCAGGAGGGGACCCACAGGCCTCCCGTAGGAGCCTACACCCCAGTCTGCCTGGCCCTGGCTCCTGGGTCTCCCTGAAAGTAGAGGCCAAGGGAAGGGGTGGCAGCCCCTCTCGGCCTTCTGCCCCTGGCTTCCCGTGATCATGCACAGGAGGGGTCTGAGCTCACCCACCCGGGACCAGGCACTACACTTTACATACACTGGTTAAGTGTTCTCATGAGACCACCTCACAGGCGACAGAGATGAGGAGAAAAAGAGGGTCTGATGAACTAACATCCTCATGGAGTGTAGTCAGGTTTTAGAGCTCAGGTGCCATGGGATGTGCCAATGCACATTTTTCTTTGTATTTCTTTATTTTTTGTGGTGCTAGGTTGAGATGGAGCCCCGGGCCTTGTGCGTGCCGGGCAAGCCCTCTGCTACCAAGGCTGTGCCAGCCTATCCACAGCATTTATCAGTGCCCACTGGTAAAAGATAGCCCATTCCCAGAAACCCCTTGGCCCTCACCGATGTGTCCCCCTCCTGAGCACCAAAGTGCATTGTCCTCTGGAACTGTCCATGTTTCGTCCGTCTACTTTCCAAGTTCTTAGTACTATACACACACCCTGCAGCAGCAGCAGTGATATAGGGGAAAGAAACTCCCAGCCTGCTAGTATCCTGTGTGGGTTCATGTTCTCTAAAATCGAATGCATTTTAGGAACAATAGAGATGAAGAGCAGAATATATTTATTGAAAGAAAGCTCTGTCCAAGAGAGATTATAGAAGGGTCTCTAGTGGGTTGCTGAGGACCTCGTCTTCTCAAGGGAATTTTAAAGAGCAAAACCTCTGGTTAGGCGGCTCCAAGGTGGGGAAAAGCATGGGGTGGAATCGAATTATGGTCAACAAATAAGATTATGAGTGTAATCACTCAGGTAAAATGGATTAAGGCGGTAGCAAATAGCAAGTGGGAACAGGGCCTGTAGGGAGTGGGGTTAGTGGCTTCTGGCTTCCTCAATGTATCAAGGTGGTATCTGTTTAGAATATCCATCCCTGGGGTTTATGCCTAGGGTGTGGCTGTATTTGTTTTGTCTTTTATCTTGAGATCTGGCTCACATCTGGAGGCATCTGCCTCCCCCACAGTTGCACTGGCTCCTTCGAGGACCCGGCCCAGTCTGACTGCCTTATAATAGTCTCTCTGCACCCTGCCCTGTCTGACTGTCTTACAATATTTTCTCTAACTCAGCTGCCTGTAACAGCAGGAGGACTGCTTCAGCTTGGAGGTTCTGACATGCTGCTACTGACATCAACTCTCCTTCCCAAACTGGCAGACTAGAAGCATGCGGTGCGTGATGTGTACGTCTGACCAGAATGCCTGGAATGGGGCGCATAAAACTTTTTGGAGAGCTGAGGGTTAACAGGAGCCCTTCCCCCTCACCCCACCTCAACACACACACTTTGTTTCAAGCCTGGGTGGAAATAGTAAAACCCCTCAGTGCACACAACTGCTTTTGTAAGTAAAGGGAGCACAATAGATCTTTTGATTCTCAAGGATCTGAGCGGCCTCACATCCTTAGTTCCAGCTTGGATTCTCACCGTCTCAGACTGCGGAAGGGGAAAAGTAGGCAAGTTTGGGTTTTTGAGAGCAAATGAAAGAAAAAAGTCCCTTTCTGATGTCGATAATCCACTCGAAGTTAAGGGGCGGCCCAAATAAAATCAAACAAAACCCCCCTCCAATCGGCAGGTCCACCTTAGCTAACTGCCCCAGTCGTGGAAAGTGAATTTTTATTGAATCATCTCTGAGAGTTTTCCTAGAGCCCTTAGGATGATTGCACACTGCACAGTAATTGAGAACAGAGTCATTGAGGGTAGAAATTTGCAAGTGTTGAAAGGTTCTGGGGGAATCTTAAAGGGGAGGGGACTGGACAGGAGGGGGCGGTGATGATTGTTGCTTTTAAGTATTTTCCTGGGCTTTTGCCCTATTTATAGTCTGGTGTTTAAGAGAAACACAGTCCTCCGGTTTCGGATGCTG